GGGGGAGGTGGGGGGGGCAGGGGGGGGGGGGGGGGGGCGTTGTGGGTGATCAGGCCAGTGGTGAGGGCAGTTGGGGGTAAGCAGGCCATCAGTGGGGGTCAGTTGGGGGTGATCAGGACTGCAGGGAGGGGGGCGGTTGGGAGTGAGCAGGCCACCAGGGGGGCAGTTGGGGGTGAGCAGGCCAATGGGAAGGGAAAGTGGGGGTAATCAGGCCAGCAAGGGGGGGGCAGTTAGGGAGAAGCAGGCCAGCAGGGGGAGCAGTTGGGGGCGAGCACATTGGCATAGGGGGCAGTTGGGGGTTATCAGGCTGGTGGGGGGGCATTTGGGAATGAGCAGGCTGGCATGCAGAGTGGTTAGGGGCAATCAAGCAGGCAGTCAGATGAGCGGTTAGGAGCCAGCAGTCCCGGATTGTGAGAGGGATGTCCGACTGCTGGTTTATGCCTGATCCCTGTAAACCCGCAGTAGGATATCCTTTGAGGGGTCCCAGATTGGAGAGGGTGCAGGCTGGGCTGAAGGACCCCCCCCCCCCCCCCCCCGCGTGCATGAATTTCATGCACCAGGCCACTAGTGCATTTTATAAATCTATTGATAAGATCATGATTTTTATCCTTTCTCTTCTTGTTAATGTTAATTATATTGATTGATTTTTGTATGTTGAACCATCCTTGTACCCTTGGAATGAACCCCACTTGATCATAATATAAGTGGTTTTTTGGATGTAATGTTGTATTCAATTTGTTAGTATTTTGTTTAGGATTTTTGCATCGTATTCATCAGAGATATAGTTCTGTAGTTTTCTTTGTTTGTGTTATCTTTGCCAGGTTTTGGTATAAGGTTTATATTGGCCTCATAGAATGTGTTAGGAAGTATTGCCTCTTCTTCAATTTTTTGGAAAGGTTTGAGAAGGATAGGTTTTAAATCTTCTTTAAACATTAGGTAGAATTCACTGATGAAGCCATCTGGTCCTGGACTTTTGTTTTTTGGGAGGTTTTTGATGGTGTTTCAATTTACCCACTGATGATCAGTCTATTTAGATTTTCCAATCTTTATTATTTAGTCTAGGAAGGTTTTATATTTCTAAGAACTTATTCACTTCTTCTAGGTTATTGAATTTGGTGACATATAGCCTTTCATAATATGCTAGTATGATCCTTTGTATATCTGTGATGTCTGTGGTTATTCTTCTCTCTCATTTCTGAATTTGTTTATATGGGTCTTTTCCCTTTTTTGTTTAGTGAGTCTAGCCAGGGGTTTTTCAGTTTTGTTAATCTTTTCAAAGGACCAGCTCTTTGTTTTGTTAATTTTTGCATACTCTTTTTATCCTCTATTTCATTTAATTCTGCTGTAATTTTTATTGTTTCCTTTCTTTTTCTGACTTTGGGTTGCTTTTGTTCTTCTTTTTCTAGTTGGTTAAGTTGTTTACTTGGGATTTCTCTTGTTTCTTGAGATAGGCCTGTAATGATATAAACTTCCTTCTTATTATTGCTTTCACTGCATCCCAGAGTTTTGATATGTTGTATTGTCATTCTCACTTTTCTCTATCTTTTGGTCTCATATTTTATTTGTTTTTTGACCCAGTCATTTATCAGTAGTATGTTGTTTAATCTCCATGTATTTGTGGGTTTCTTTACTTCTTTTTTGCAGTTGATTTCTAGTTTCATGGCATCATGGTCAGAAAATATGCTTGGTATAATTTCAATCTTCTTGAATTCGTTGATGCTAGTTCTATGACTGAACATATGGTCTATTCTTGAGAATGTTCCATGTGTGCTGGAGAAGAATATATAATCTGATGTTGTGGGATGAAAGGTTTTGTAAATGTCAATTATGTCCATTTGGTCTAGTGTTTCTTTTAAGGCCGATATTTCTTTATTAATTTTCTGTTTGGTTGATCTGTCCAGAGCTGTCAATGGAATATTAAAGTCTCCAACTAGGATTATGTTTTGATCTTTCTCTCCCTTTAGTTTTGTGAGTAGTTGTTTTATATATTTTGGTGCTCCCTGGTTGGGTGCATATATATTAAGAAGTGCTTGTTTCCTTGATGTAGTGTCCATCTTTGTTTCTTGTTATCTTGAAATCTATTTTGTCAGATAAAAGTATGGCTACCCCTGCTTTTTGTGAATGCTATTTGCTTAGAGAATCATTTTCCATCCTTTTACTTTGAATCTACCTTTGTCTTTGCAGCTTAGATGTTTCTCTTGTGGGCAGCATATGGTTGGGTTTTGTTTTTTGATCCACTCTGCTACTCTGTGGCTCTTTCCTGCTTAATTTAGATCATTTACATTTAGGGTATTATTGATGGATATGGACTTCCTATAGCCATTAGGTTTATAAAAAATAAAGTTGCATATATACAGTAGTTTTTTTCTTTCCTTCGTGTTTCTGTCTGTTATTTTTGTTTGGTTGTATTACATACTTCTTTCCTATGTTTCCTCTTTTTTTAAGCTATGTGTCCTGGTTTGGGGATTTTTGTGTGTGGTTACCATTAGGTTTATAAAAAATAAAGTTGCATATATACAGTAGTTTTTTTTACATTTAGGGTATTATTGATGGATATGGACTTCCTATAGCCATTAGGTTTATAAAAAATAAAGTTGCATATATACAGTAGTTTTTTTTTCCTTTGAGTGCATCTGACCTTTAACTTTCTTTGCCAGTTATACTTTTACCCCCTCCTTTTTTATGTTTTTGTTGTCATAAATTATCCCTGTTTATGCTGTCAGGTTTTTTTTGGTGACTTTACTTTTATTGTTGTGCCCTTATGTTCTTTGTTTAAGGAAGAATAACTTCCTTGAGTATTTCCTGCAATGGAGGTTTTCTGGTGATAAAATCCCTCAGCTTCTATATCTCTGGAAACTTTATTTCTCCTTCATATTTAAAGGATAATTTTGCTGGATATATTATTCATGGTGAGTAATTTTCCTCTTTCAGATATTTGAATATTTGGTTCCACTCTCTTCTGGCTTGTAGACTGCCCCCCACAGCTTGCTGTTCCTCCAGGCCAAAGGAATCACCTGCTGGTGCCAACTTTCTTCCCTCTCCTGGACAGGTCATGAGTTTTTGGCTGCAAGGCTGCATCTGTGGGCCATCTGCACTTTCTTTCCTTCTCATTTCCCCATTTATTCCGTTTCCCACCTTTAGGTGTTTCATTGTGTAGGTCTCCCAGGTATGCATCCTGGGAGCAGGGACTTCTTTGTTTAATTATAGATGGCTAACTTGTTATAATGTCATCAGGAGAGGAAACGATGCATCCTTATGCTGCCATTCCTCTGATGTCAGCCATCTAAATTACTTTTTTTGGAGGCTTTAGCATTATAAATCCTGGAGCTCACATGAAACTCTACCAAATTCCTAGAAATTGTAGCTAAAGGGCACTGGGGTAAAGATGAGAGAAAATTAATTTTTGCCTCCAAATAATGGTGTGTTGGTGTTTATATAAAGAAAAGTATCCTCATTTTGAGAGAATTCCTTGCTGAAATTGTTTATCTTTTTGCTTCAGAAGTTAAACTTTTGCTTGAAAAAAGAGTTAACCAAAGCATTATACTAAGTGAAATAAGCCAGTCAGGGACAGACAAGTGCTGTATGATTTCATTCATATGTGGACTCTAAATGAACAAAAGGAACTAACAAGCAACATAGAGAGACTCATAGATAAAGAGCAGGCTGACAGGTGGGGAGTCTGGAGTTGGGGGCTGGAGGATGTGGAAGGATTGAGTAAAAAAAAAAGAGAGAGAGAAACTCATGGACATCTACAACAGTGTGTGGTTGCCGGGGATAGGAGACTGAGGAGAGGTGGAGGAGGGTAAAGGGAGGATAAATGGTGTTGGATGGAGACTTGACTTGGGGTGGTGAACATAAAATACAATGTACAGATGATGTGTTGTGTAGTTGTGCACCTGAAAATTATATAAGTTGGTTAATGCATGTTACCTCAGTAACTTCAAAGAAAAGGAAAAAAATAAATATAAAATAAAATAAAATAAGCAAAATAGAGCTTCCAAGATAGTCTCTCCAGAAATAATGGCTGTTCATTGGAGAAATAGTTATTTTGCATCAAAAGAGCAAATGTCAAAAAACAGAAGTTAGAGTATGGGAGATATTTATTTGGACATCGATCATTCTGATTTTGTGGAAAAAGCTTTGCAAGTCCTGCTGAGGGGAGATAGAAGTGAGTCACCAGTTTTTCCTCTCCCTCTTTTCCTGTGTCCTCAGATGACACCTGTGTTTTGAGAGCTGATTTGTCTTAGTTCTCTAAAACAGAGGCCTCCAAATCTGTATGATCATGCACTTCATCAAAGACAAATGCTTGAGCAGGTTCATGTAAAAAATATTTATATTTAAATCCCATTATATATTGTATATTAGTATTTGTAAACAAATATGCACATATATGCATTTATTATGGAAATAATTTTTACATTATGAAACAAAATTTGAAGTTAGTAATGCATGAGGTAAAATATACAAATGAATCATATTGTAATATATATTTCTAAAATGCATACAGAAAATTGGAAAAATACACACTGACCCTTAACATAGTATATCTGAGAGGGAATGTGTCAAGAGGAAAACTGAGAAAACAATTTCATCTTTCACATTATTCATTTCTATATTGCTTAACAGTTTAACAAATACATCTTGGCAACAGTGAGGAAACTTTTTTTTAAATATTTTATTGGTTTTTTACAGAGAGGAAGAGAGAGGTATAGAGAGTTAGAAACATTGATGAGAGAGAAACATCGATCAGCTGCCTCCTGCACACCCCAAACTGGGGATGTGCCCACAACCAGGGTACATGCCCTTGACCAGAATCGAACCTGGGACCTTTCAGTCCGCAGGCCGATGCTCTATCCACTGAGCCAAACCGGTTAGGGCAGTGAGGAAACTTTTTAAGAGACATGCACAAAAAATGATGTTTAAAATATTTATTTACATGAAAAGTTATTCAAATATGCTGTTATATGTACATACTAGAGGCCCGGTATATGAATCCGTGCACAGGTGGAGTCCCTTGGGCTGGCCTGCAGATATTGGGCCCCAGCTCACGCCCCCAGCCTTGCGGCCCCATCTGGTGCCTCCAGTCTCACAGCCCCGCAGCCCCTTCTGGCACCCTGCCTTGGCCTGGTGTGGCCTCCTCACCTGCTCCACCATCCTGCCTGCAGGGCAATCAATCTAGCCGCCCCCCCTCCCCGCCTGGCTCCCTCAGTGCCTGGGAGTTGGGTGGCTGCCCCGCTGTCCACCGCCGCTGCCACTGGTCCCTATCTGTGGGGCAATCACCTTGGCCTGGTGCCGCCCACTAACCTGCTCCACCATCCCACTGCAGTCCTGCTCTCGTCTGCGCCCATTGGGGCCAGCAGCGCCTCCGCTGCCGCCCTGCTGCCAGCACTGCATTGCTGACATCCACCATGTTCTGTGCCACCCCCTGCTGGTCAGTGCACATCATAGCGAGTGGTTGAACTCACAGTCTCCCAGTCAAACAACCACCTGAGGGGACAATTTGCATATTAGCTTTTTACTATATAGGATATGTGTATATGCATGCATAAAAAACGTGTTTAAAGCACATGTACCATCATTATAACAGTGAACATATATAATGTGCTGTCTTCTATATATTTTATAGTCTCTGTTAAGCTCCTTTGATGTCATTTTTTTTAAAAAAATACATTAACATCAAAGACCCCTGTTTGGTTTCATAAACATAATCACATAGTCTCATACACACACATATATACAAACACATACAGGACTATTAAATTTATGTGTCAAAAAAGATGCTATTATTAAAGCAGTGATTCACACTGTTCTGAAATATATATGGATTAGCATAAACTAAGTAACATAACATGAGAATATTTTTGAAAATTTAAGTATATTTTATGGGAGGGGGGTTTCTCTCTTCCCGTGACCAGTGCAGAGAGAGAGAACGCGGGGGTTCATGAAATCTTGAATAGAACGCGAGGAGGTTTAAGGAAAAATGAAAAAAACACAAGACAGAAATAGAGTGAAAGCTGGGCCTGGTTGTGGCGTTTGCCCTCTGATGGAGGGACAGACGCAGAGAACTTCAGCACCAAACAGATTTATTTATACTCGAATAACAGGAAGTCACATCACATCTGGGTGGGCCTTGAGTTCCTGGCGACATCATGAGATCCACCCCCTTAACATTGGGCGGGAAGGTCAAACTGAGTGGCGTCCCAATCTCTTGATTAGGTCCGCACCCAGGGCGTGGCTCTGCCTTGGCTCTGAGTTTCAGCCGACATATTTAAACCGAGTGTTTTTGCCAGCAGCCCTTAACATATTTGGTATACAATATTATATTAGTTTCAGGTGTACAATATAGTGTTTCAATATTTATGTACCTTACAATGTGATCATGTCACTAATTCTAGTAATTATCTGTCACCAAGAAAACATCATAATATTATTGACTATATTCCTCTTCATCTTTTTCACCAATCCCCCACTCTCCAACCCTGTAGCAATCATCAGTGTCATCTGTTTCCATAAATCTGTGGTTTTTTTGCTTTGTTTTGATTTTTAAGAGTCTACATGTAGTGAAATTATAAAATATTTGTCCTTTTCTGCCTAACTTATTTCACTTAAAATAATAATCTCTGTTACCATCCTTATTTTCACAAATGGCAAGATTTCATTATTTTTTATTGCTCAGTAATATTCCATTGTATACATGTACCACATCTTCTTCATCTATTCATCCATCAATGGACACCTAGGTTATTTCCATATCTTAGCTATTGTTAATAGTACTGCAATTAATATAGGGTACATGTATCTTTTCAAATTAGTGTTTTCATTTTCTTCAGATAAATATCCAGAAGTGGCATTGCTGAATCGTATGTTAGAACTACTATTTTTTTTTTCAGGAATCTCTGTACTATTTACCATAATGGCTATGGCAACATAATTGAAGTAATATGAAAATATTTTGATATACAGCAGGAAGGAAATAAACATATCTACAATATAGATGAAATTTTCATTTCTCTTTTAGAATAGCATACATTATAGAGTTGGAAAACTTATTAATAAAACCTATTTAATTGGTTTGATTTCTTTCTTGCTTTGTATTTTATGGATTGGCATTACATGTGCACTTTACCTGGATTACTACATGGATGTCATTTGAACCCTGGAAGAGCAGTGCAGCTCAGAGGTGTTGAGCAAAGTAAGGACTGTGTTGGACAGCAGTTGAAGTGAGAATCAAGACCTACAGTAATCTGTGTAATAGTGCGTAAGACTGTTTACATTTTGTGAAGCATATTTCTATAATCATTTTATGTTGGGATTTTGTAGTACAATTGATTTTCTCCTTGCTCTACAATTGCTTCTTACTATAGCTTCTTACTACAGCCACAGATTTGGTGTTGGGAAGCAAAAAAGTATTTTAAACCACAATATAGGAATGAAGATATGCAGGTCCCAACTGAAGGCTTGTACCTCAAGCAATCTACTTGTGAAAAAATATGTAACATTTACAATAACCAATTTTAAATGTACAGTTAAGTAGTATTATGTACATTCATGTCATTGTACAAACATCACCACCATTCATCTCCAGAACTTTTTTCATCTTCTAAAATTGAAATTCCTTACCCATTAAATAATAACTCCCCATTCCAACCTCAACCCAGTTCCTGGAAACTACCATTTTACTATCTGTCCCTACGAATTTTACTACTCTATAAATTTAATGTACTTTAGTACACATGAAAGTGGAATCATAAATTATTGTTCCTTTTGTGTCTGGCTTATTTCACTTAGCATAATGTCTATGAGATTTAGCATTGTTGTGGCATATGTCAAAATCTTCTTCCTTTTTTAGGCTGGATAATTTTACATTGGATGTATATAGCACATTCTGTTTATTAATCTCACAATGGACATGGGTTATTTGCACATTTTGGCAATTATGAATAATGCTGCTGTTAACATAGGTATAGAAATATTTATCCAAGTCCCTGACTTGAATTATATATTTAACCTTTAATATTCCACCAGACTGTTTTCCATAATGGCAGCTCTAGTTTACATTCCTACCAGCAGTGCACAAGGGTTCCAATTTCTCCATATTCTTGATATTTTCTGCTTTGTTTTCTTTTTGAACAATAGCCATTCTAATAGTAACTAATATAGCATTGTACCTTTAAATTGCATTTTCCTAAAGATTAGTGACCTTGAGCATATTTTCTGAGGGGCTGCGATGTCTAATGTCTGTGAAATAAGAGGAAAATTAGCAAATTTTCCTCCCTGCCCTATAAAAACCACATTATACTGCTGAGTAAAGGGCCTTTGTTGGGATGAAACTGGAAGCAAAAATAATGAGACAGGAAATGCAACCTGCTTCTCTTTCCTCTTGATTTCCTAACCCCTTATGGCATTACCATTGATTAACCCAAACAGGAAAAAAGAAAAAAAATCAGGTTCTGAGTGTTCTGCCTGCAGTACCTGTGCACACTCTAAGCCTTAGAGTCTAAGGAATGTTGCTTGAAAAATTCAGATATCCCTATCTACCATCTGCTTCCTCTTTAAGCATATTTCATACAAGGAAGTCAGCTTTGAAAGAGACTGTGCATCTCTTTCAAAGCATAATTGATAAAAAATACTACTTGCAACTTCAACAATATCTACTAGTAGGCACCCAAACGACATGGAACAGTCTGTTAAAGGTCCTGTGATACATGCTACAGGTAAAGGGAAGCCACATGTAGATTTAAATTATTGGTGGAAAAAGACACAAATATTCCTGCAGAGAACTGGTTTCCAAACTGATGCTCAGCTATGTAGGTGTTAAGAAAGATGGTGATGTATTGGAGCCACAAAGATAACATTAGATTTTCCAAACTTTTAAAATATAATCCTTTATGACAGAGATCAGCAAACTATGGACTGATGCTATTACACCATAGCTACCCTATTTTTTTTTAAGTCTAAGGATGCTTTCTTTCTTTCTTCTAACTTAAAAATATGTTTTTATTGATTTCAGAGAGAGAGAGAGAGAGAGAGAGAGAGGGAGAGAGAAAAACATCAATGATGAAAGAGAATCATTGATCAGCTGCCCCCTGCAGGTCACCCACCAGGGATCAAGCCCCCAACTTGGGGTTCATGGGTCAATGCTCAACCACTGAGTGACACTGGCTGGGCTATGGCTGCTTTCTTGTTACCATGGCAGAGTTAAGTTGGGACAGAGACATGTATAGACCCAAAATATAGGGTATCTAATATCTGGCATTTCACTTAGAAATTTTACCAGCTCCTGTTTTATAACAAGTTTGTATGTATTTTTTTAAAGTGTGAAAAGGTTATTATGCTATGTCGTTATATAATGACATATGATACCTCTTTCAAGTACTAGACGAAACGTTCTTAAACATGGATTCTTGCTAAGAAAAGTACAGAGACCTCTGTTTTAAGAAAACAATATCAAATGGCCCACCTAGTATAGGGCTCCTATCATCTTAGTTCATAGTCAAGGAAGGAAAAACACAGGCTGGTGACTCAGCCTCTTCAGACTCCTTTTAGCAAGAGCTGCCAGTGTGTCTCCCACAAAACAGGAAGGATCAAGCAGCCTCATATCCCAATAAATACTCAAACCCCAAACATACTAATATGCACACACAAATACGCTATGATGATAGACTTTCAATAGGCCTGATTTATGCATATTCCTCAGCTTTTCTGCCTGCAATTCTATCAGAGCTGTCTGCCAGGAGATAATAGCATAAAGAGTTATCATAAAGACCAAAATGTTACCGTATTTCTAGTATTAGTGTCACATTGCACAGAAACTGAGATATGTGCATTCACTATCAGAGTCAGATTCATGCTTGAGAGTTGAGCCACTCCGACTAATGCATGCACAAAGTCACTTTAAAAAACATACTGGCAGCCCTAAGCGGTTTGGCTAGGTGGGTAGAGCGTCAGCCTGTGGACTGAAAGGTCCCAGGTTCGATTCTGGCCAAGGGCATATACCTTGGTTGCGGACACATCCCCAGTAGGAGGTGTGCAGGAGGCAGCTGATCAATGTTCCTCTCTCATTGATGTT